TATCCCCAACACCTGATTGCATAACCGGGAAAATTTTGGGAGTTTCATAGGTGGGAATTCTTGTAGCTCTAGTATTTCTTCCGCAGATAGTTGGTTTGTGATTGGGTAATCCTTACCAAGTATTTGTTCATATTCGTACCTTGTTGTTTTATTCATCTACCTCTATCTAAGTGGCTTCTCAATTTATGGAAGTGTGACCATTTAATTTCTAATTCATTCGTTCATTCTTGTTCGGATGTTAAGACTATATGTTGCAATTTCAATCCATTTGATTCAGCTTACCAGTGACGATCGTAGTTTCCGTTGTTATTGTTACAATCACTATAAAACCAAAACTATTGCTTTTGCTACTGTTACCGCTACTGTCATATTGCTTTGCTACTAAATACTTTGCTGTAGATATTAAGTTTTCAGGTGTTGTTGAATTGACAACTCAGTTGCTAATACTTGAGAATATTCTTTGGCTCCCCTTGTGTCGAATCAATAAATTTGGGTTGAATACTCTACCCTCGAAAACTGTTGTGATCCCCTATACTTGTGGGTTATCAGATGGTAACGTGACCATCTGTAAGGCTCGGCTTGTCGCTAAGGGTTATCGACAAGTTCAAGGGATTGACTACGATGAGACCTTCTCACTCGTAGCGAAGCTGAAGTCCGTCTGAATCATGTTAGCAATTGCCGCATTCTATGATTATGAGATATGGCAAATGGACGTCAAAACGGCATTCCTTAATGGTTTCCTTAAGTAAGAATTGTATATGATGCAACCGGAAGGTTTTGTCGATCCTAAGAATGCTGACAAGGTATGCAAGCTCCAGCGCTCAATTTATGAGCTGGTGCAAGCATCTCAGAGTTGGAACATTCGCTTTGATGAGATGATCAAAGCGTTTGGGTTTACGCAGACTTATGGAGAAGCTTGTGTTTACAAGAAAGTGAGTGGGAGCTCTGTAGAATTTCTCATATTATATGTGGATGACATACTATTGATGGGAAATGATATAGAACTTTTGGAAAGCATAAAGGCCTACTTGAATAAGTGTTTTTCAATGGAGGACCTTGGAGAAGCTACTTACATATTAGGCATCAAGATCTATAGAGATAGATCGAGACGCCTCATTGGTCTTTCACAAAGCACATACCTTGAAAATATATTGAAGAAGTTCAATATGGATCAGTCCAAGAAGGGGTTCTTGTCTGTATTGCAAGGTGTGAAATTGAGCACGGCTCAATGCCTGACCTCGGCAGAAGATAGAGAAAATATGAGTGCCACCCCCTATGCCTCGGCCATAGGGTCTATTATGTATGCCATGCTATGTACCAGACCTGATGTGAACCTTGCCGTAAGTTTAGTAGGGAGGTACCAAAGTAATCCCGGCATGAAACACTGGACAGCGGTCAAGAATATCCTAAAGTACCTGAAAAGGACTAAGGATATGTTTCTCGTTTATGGACGTGACGAAGAACTCATCGTAAAGGGTTACGTCGATGCTAGCTTCGACACAGATCTGATTGACTCCAAGTCACAAACCAGATACGTGTACATTTTGAATGGTGGGGCAGTCAGCTGGTGCAGTTGCAAGCAAATCATCGTGGCAGGATCTACATGTGAAGCGGAGTACATAGCAGCCTCAGAGGCAGCACAGGAAGCAGTCTAGATGAAGGAGTTCATCACCGATCTAGGAGTTATTCCCAATGCGTCATGCCCGATGACTCTCTTCAGTGACAACACTGGAGCTATTGCCCTTGCCAAGAAGCCCAGGTTTCCCAAGAAGACCAGGCATATCAAGTGTCGCTTCAAATCCATTCGTGAATATATTCAGGATGGAGACATAGATATTTGTAAAGTGCATACGGATCTGAATGTCGCGGATGCGTTGACTAAACCTCTTCCGCGAGCAAAACATGATCAACACCAGAACTCTATGGGTGTTCGATTCATCAAAATGTAACTAGATTATTGACTCTAGTGCAAGTGGGAGACTGTTGGAAATATGCCCTAGAGGCAATAATAAGGTGGTTATTATTATATTTCCGTGTTCATGATAATTGTCTATTGTTCATGCTATAATTGTATTAACCGGAAACTGTAATACATGTGTGAATACATAGATCGTAATATGCCTCTAGTTGACTAGCTCGTTGATCAATAGATGGTCATGGTTTCCTGGCCATGGACATTGGATGTCATTGATAATGGGATCACATCATTAGGAGAATGATGTGATTGACAAGACCCAATCCTAAGCGTAGCACAAGATCGTGTAGTTTGTTTGCTAAAGCTTTTCTAATGTCAAATATCATTTCCTTAGACCATGAGATTGTGCAACTCCCGGATACCGTGAGAATGCTTTGGGTGTACCAAACATCACAACGTAACTGGATGGCTATAAAGGTGCACTACAGGTATCTTCGTAAGTATCTGTTGGGTTGGCACGAATCGAGACTGGGATTTGTCACTCCGTATTACGGAGAGGTATCTCTAGGCCCACTCGGTAATGCATCGTCATAACGAGCTCAATGTGACTAAGGAGTTAGCCACAGGATCATGCGGTACAGAACGAGTAAAGAGACTTGCCGGTAACGAGATTGAACGAGATATAGAGATACCGACGATCGAATCTCGGGCAAGTAACATGCTGATAGACAAAGGGAATTGTATATGGGATTGATTGAATCCTTGACATCGTGGTTCATCCCATGAGATCATCGTGGAACATGTGGGAGCCAACATGGGTATCCAGATCCCGCTGTTGGTTATTGGCCGGAGAGATGTCTCGGTCATGTCTGCATGGTTCCCGAACCCGTAGGGTCTACACACTTAAGATTCGGTGATGCTAGAGTTGTTATGGGAAATAGTATGTGGTTACCGAAGGTTGTTCGGAGTCCCGGATGAGATCCCGGACGTCACGAGGAGTTCAGGAATGGTCCAAAGGTGAAGATTTATATATGAAAAGTCCAGTTTCAGTCACCAGAATGGTTTTGGGGTTATCGATATTATACCGGGACCATCGGAAGGTGTCCGGGGATCCACCGGGTGAGGCCACCTGCCCCGGTGGGCCTAGTGGGCTAAACAAGGAAGAGAACCAGCCCCTGGTGGGCTGGTGCGCCCCCCCCCCCAGGGGCCCTAGGCGCCTAGGGTTGGAAACCCTAGGGGTGGGGACGCCTCCCACATGCTTGGGGGCAAGTTACCCCCCTTGGTCGCCGCCCCCTTGTAGATGGGATCTGAGGGGGCCGACCCCCTCTTCCCTTCCCCTATAAATAGTGGGGGGTGGGAGGGCTGCCACACCCTTCCCCTGGCACATCCCCCTTCTCCAACACCTCCTCCTCCTCCGTAGCGCTTAGCGAAACCCTGCCGGAGAACCACCAGCTCCATCACCACCACACCGTCGTGCTGTCGGAGTTCTCCCTCAACTTCTCCTCTCCCCTTGTTGGATCAAGAAGGAGGAGACGTCCCCGGGCTGTACGTGTGTTGAACACGGAAGTGCCGTTGTTCGGCGCTTAGATGGAAGTCGACCGTGATTTGGATCGCTGCGTGTACGACTCCACCGACCGCGTTCTTGCAACGCTTTCGCTTAGCGATCTTCAAGGGTATGAAGATGCACTCCCTCTCTCTCGTTGCTAGCATCTCCTAGATTGATCTTGATGACACGTAGGAAAATTTTGAATTATTGCTACGTTACCCAATAGCTACCCCGACTCGACATCGACCACGGCATTCTTCGTACGGCTACCTCGACCACGACTTCACCACCCACGCTCTCGGCTACCTCGACAAACAGTACAAAGGGCTACCGCCTTGCTTGAGCAACCTCGTCGGTTTCCACTCTAGCCACGACTCCGCGGTGCGTCGACCGTTACGACTGTGGCGGGTGACCGCCGGCTTGCCTTCGGATTCTTCTCCAGTCTCACCGTCTGCGTCGTTACCGTTGTGACTGCGGGGGATGTTGAGTAACATGATTGTATTAGGAAACATAGGTTGGACTAGGAATATTCTTGCTTGCCTTGTACTTCAGATAGATCATATACACCAATATATATACACCAATATTCTTACTTGCCTTGTACTTTAGATAGATCATATACACCAATATATATATACATATATATAGGACTCATTTTCTGTACTCTTGGGAGTATGTACTCCCATCTTCAATATACCTCGTATATGCATTGATTATACCCCTTATCATTCTCAATATACTTCATTAAATATTCTAAGATACCCCAATACAAGTTTTGTTGAAAAAAATATCATTTACGACCTACTTTTTGCAGTATACCTTTTTCACGTACAAACAAATCAGTATATACGTAAACCTTTGAAAATATGAGGCACACATGATTTTTTTTCATGAAATCCATTTTAGGGTATCTAGTAATTATTAATGAAGTATATTAAAAATAATAATAAATTATAAAAAATTTATCTATGTGGTATATGAGGAGCGAGAATACATACTCCCAGAAATACACACACATATATATATATACACCCACGAGGCTCAAGCAATACAACAAAAGTCCACCAATATTCCTCTCTCCCTTCTAACATGACGTTTCGGGAACTCTCCTACCGTGTTGGGCGATCAGTGCGCAACGGACGCGTGGCCGTGAGCACGGGGTGAAGTGTCCGCGCAAATCCGTATTTTTTGAAGAGATGCCGCCACCTTGCTGTTCGTGGCCGTGTTTGCTTGGTTCCCCCACCAGCTAACTAAACCAAGACATTAATGCCCGGACCAGACCTCCTCTCCCCATCCCTACCCCAGCATCGTAGCAGCAGCCAAGAAATCTTGGCGCAATCGTTTGGGGGAACACGGCGGAGCTCCTCGTCTCCAAATCCCTACACTCCTTGAGCTGTTCATCTGCAGAATCATCCTTGCTCCTCTTCAGGTTCATCGGAAGAATCAAGGTAGCACGAAGAGTACTCTCCAATCTCGTGCAAATTCATTCCAGTCCAGCTAACCGAAGCCCCGGCTTCTGAACCTCATTACGGGCGGCAGATGGAGACGGAGCCCGTGAGCGCGGCCACGGGGGCCACGGGCTCCGTCCTCAGGAAGCTGGGCGATCTGCTGGCCGGCGACCACGCGGTTCCCAATGGCGACGACGTCGAGTCCCTCATGGCGGAGCTCCAGGGGGTGCACGCCTCCCTCAAGGCAACATCCCGGGCGGAGGATCCCGGCGAGCGAGGCAGGCGCTGGATGAAGGAGGCGCGGGAGCTCTCGTACGACGTGGAGGACGCCCTAGACGAGTTCATGCTCCCTCCCCGCGACGGATCTGGTACTGGTGATACTACCTCAGACGGCTTCTCTGAAAAGATCGGCGCCTGGTTGAGGGAGGCGGCGGCTCGCCGTCGGACAGGCCAAGAGATCACCGACAGCATCTCCAGGGCCGGCGGCGTCGAGGCGGAGGATCCCCGGGACTGCTCTCTCTACAAGGAGATGCGTGAGCCCGTGGGCCTCGACGGGCCCGCTGCTGAACTCGTCAGAATGGTGGACGGGGGAGGGAAGCAGTTGGAGGTGGTTTCCATCGTCGGGTGTGGCGGGCTGGGCAAGACCACTCTTGCTCGTCGTGTCTACGACACACTGGGTGAGCAGTTTGAGTGCCGGGCTTTCGTCTCCGTCTCCCGGAAACCTCATGTGGTGGCAATTTTGAGGGATATTCTCAGCCAACTGGGGTGTGAGTATGATCAAACCTTAACTGGGGATGCGCAATCGCTCGTCGACAGCGTCTCTAATTTCCTTAAGGATAAAAGGTACTGTACTTCAGTTCAGAATTCAGACAATAGGAAATTTACACTTTTACAAGTTGTGTTCTTCCCCACAGCATTTCACCTTCCGTGTGTTCATTACTCATTAGGCATGAATTTCTTATATTTATCAGCTATAGCATGTGGCTATTTTTATCTTCGTGATATATGTTCCAGCGACACGAGATCCATGTGACAGAATATACATTTACTAGCTAGAGATATAGGTGGAGAAAGGTGGGCCAGTCTAAGTTCTTTCAGTTTGTATCCAAGTGTAACTCATTCTGCACTACCATGTTTTTGAATAGTGCACATTCATGCCAATGTTAATTTTGATGACTTTGTGACACACTTTTCACTGAACTGCACATTAAATTGGCTCCTGTTTCAGCAAGTATTGTGTAAAAAAAACTGCTTCCTTTTCGAGAACACGATATAAATTTTGAAGCTAGCATTAAGGAGACAAATTGGCCTATGCTGCTGAATCCGTGAAATGTTCTACAGACTACCAGATTTTTCCCCTTGTTTTGGGGAATTTTACCTGCATGATCACATTTTGCCTACAATTAATATTATTGCTTACATTTTCAGATAATAGTAGAACTTATGATAGTGCTTAGGAGTGTGTTTCTTTATTTTTGTTGTCAACGATTGTAGCTTGCTCTTGACATTGCAAAATCATGTGCCAGGTACTTGATCATAGTAGATGATGTATGGGATGTTCAAACATGGGATATTATTAAGGGTGCCTTTCCAAACAGCAATTCTGGCAGCAGAATAATCACGACAACGCGTATACATGAAGTAGCCAAATCATGCAGTGCTTCATGTGGTGGTCGAGTTTATACGTTAAGCCCTCTCAGTACCGTGGACTCGGAAAGGTTGTTTTTCAATATGGTGTTTAATTCCGGTGAGCACTGCCCGCCCCACCTCAAAAGAGTTTTTGACAAAATCTTGCAGAAATGTGGTGGTCTGCCCCTGGCAATTATTGCTATATCCGGCTTGCTGGTTGCCAACACGCATGAAGATCAATGGGAGCAAATGTACAGCTCTATCAGGCATGGACTCGGAAGCAACCCTGCTGTTGAAAGAACCATGAGGATTTTGTTGCTTGGCTACTTTGATCTTACCCCTTGCCTAAAATCTTGCCTGCTTTATCTCAGTGTATTCCCGGAAGGTTATGCTATCAAGAAGGAACGTCTGGTATTGAGATGGATTGCCGAGGGGTTCATTCCTGAAGAGCATGGGCACACCCTATATGAGTCAGGAGAGAGGTGTTTGAACGAGCTCATCAGCTGGAACCTGATCCAATCAGGGGAGATAACTAAGTTTGGTGAGGTGGAAACCTGTCGAGTCCATGGCATAATTCTTGATTTCCTCGTATCCATGGCAAACCAAGACAATTTTGTTACTTTCATTGGTGTACCTGGTGCAAATCCTGAGCCACAAAACAAAGCCCGTCGATTGTCCCTACAGGGTGACAGTGAAATTCCAGCATATCTTATTTTGTGTAATGCCCGGTCACTTTCTGTTTTTGGTGGTTGTGTTAAAATGCCATCCCTCTCGAAGTTCAGACACTTGCATATTTTCGACATGGAAGGTTCTGGGGAAGTAGAAGATCAACATCTTGCAGAAATAGGTGGTCTGGTCCATCTTAAGTACCTGAGGCTCAAGTCAAAAATTGGGAAGCTTCCCCAACAAATAGCAGAGTTACAGTACTTGGAGTCACTTGAGGTATGCGAAAGCAATGCGACAACCGAAATTCCATCAGCCATCAATCAACTCACACAATTGGCATGTCTAGTTGTTAACGATGAAACTGTATTACCGGATGAAATTGGTGGCCTCAAAGCATTGCAAGTGTTGAGAGGTATCAATGTCAACACCCAGTCCACCAACTTTGTTCGGCAACTCTGTCTACTATCAAACCTGATGGAGCTAAGCATAAGTTTTATCAACTATTATGCTGGTGATAACTGGAAGGAGAACCAGGAAGAGATGGTCAATTCGATATGTCGGCTAGGCGGAGCAAACCTTCATGTTCTACACATTACTATCAACGAGGGAGCAGATGAGATCTTCGAGGAGTCATGGAGCCCTGCTCCACTTAGTCTCCGGGAACTTGTCGTCGAGGTGGGCATTGTCTCAAGTGTTCCAAGATGGATTGGCTCACTTGTCAACCTCCAGAAATTGGTGGTACCTATGTGGGAAGTTGGGGAGGAGGACCTGGTGATCCTGGGAAGCCTACCTGATCTGCGCCATCTTAGCCTCACTGCACTGGCAGCTGGGTCAAAAGAAGGGCGGCTTAGGGTCACCCAAAGCCATGGGTTCCCTTCATTGATCAATTTCCAGATCGGCGGAGAAGAGTGTGCGCTTGGGTTGGTTTTTGAAGCTGGTTCCATGCCAAAGCTACAACATCTTGAGCTCGAGTTCGACGTGGAGGAAACTAGTTCTGTGACTGATGGTGGTTTTGATTTTGGCATCAAGCATCTCTCCTGCCTCACAAGCACAACGGTCCGCTCTACTTACGACGAATCCATTCGTCCCACGCTGGAGGCTGCCATGGAGAGATGCATCTACGACCATCCCAACCGTCCCATGTTGATATGGATGAAATGAATATTTGTAAGACACTGGTTCCCTCTTCCAAAGATTTGCCACTTAAAAGTAATGTATTTTACTGTATTTTTTTCTTCTATCTATCCTTCTCACAATATCTCTTTCCATATGTTACTTTTCTACCTCTTTCAGGGCAAAATTCAAGCAGGCTGGTAGAAGCTGCAGCTGCTCACAGTTAGCATGAGCAACAAGATGGGTGAACATGGTAATAGGGTGACACTGAAAAGCCAAGGGCACAGCAATAACCGGACGGAAGTTCTTGTTACATCAGTTAGTGGTATTCTACCTATCCAAAAGTTTATTTCAAGAAAACTGTTTTCTTGAAATGTTTCTAGACATGGGCAATCAGCGTGGTGTACCTCATGGCTGATGGTCATCATTTTCATTGTGTTCCTTCGTTGTTTGTTAAAGTGAGCAAGTGACATTGTAAAACTTTCTTAAGTGCTCCCTCCATCTAAAATAAGTGACACTTATTTTGGGACGGAGGGAGTACGTAGTTACATCAACATCTTCTTTGCGGGGAAGCCGATTCGCTCTGGAGCCACTCCCCCGGCCAGCGAGGACGAGGAGGCTCTCCGCGATGCCATCCACCGACTTGAACTAGCAGTCCGATGGCATGTATGATAAGGTACCATATGCTATGTCATGTATGAACTATGTGCTATGTGTTATATGAACTATGAAGTACGTCGTTTGATCTATGTTGCATGATATTGTGTGGATTTGAGCTGTGGCCACAGACAAATGAGGGATAACCGGGCTAAGGAGGATATAGCCAAAGGATACCCAAGCGTCGCAGAGGGCGAGTTACAGAGCAAAAATGGGGCGTTTATGCCCTCGCCGCCATGCCTGGCGGCAGTGGGTGAAGTTTCTCTGTGCCCTCCTGATAGAACATGCCTAATTTTAGTAGTCCGATGGACAAGGGTAATGGCAAAGGAGGCAGTGGGTGAACTTCCTCTATAGCCTGATTTGAACTAGCAGAACAGGTCTAATTTTGTTAGTTCAATGGCATGTATCGGAAATACAGTAAAATACATTACTTTTTGGATTCATATCCAGTAAAATGTCCGATGGACAAGGGTAATGGCAAAGGAGGCAGTGGGTGAACTTCCTCTATAGCCTGATTTGAACTAGCAGAACAGGTCTAATTTTGTTAGTTCAATGGCATGTATCGGAAATACAGTAAAATACATTACTTTTTGGATTCATATACAGTAAAATACATTACTATGGGATTCATATACGGCGCCTTTTTGGATGCAAAGAAAGAGATCTCAGCCAAGTTTGAAAATGAACAACAAGAATCTTGTTTTCAAGAAGTGTTGGATATAGTGGATAAAAGATGGGACAACAAATTGAAGAGGCCACTACATAGGGATGGATACTTCTTAAATCCATACTACTTTTATGAAAACAAGCTACAAATTTTGTTGGATCCAACATTTAAAGATGGGGTTGTCAGTTGCATGGGAAAAATGGTGGAAGATGTTCGCCTTCAAGACAAAATCACAGATGAACTTAAGGCATATCAAGGCGAAGAGGGGTCATTTGGAAGAGACATTGCTAAAAGGCAGCGGAAAAACAAAAACTTTGATCCAGGTGCATATTTACATTTTAACTTTTTCTCCATTCTCATATCAGAACTTGCAATGGTTTCTTAACTCCGATTTTTACTCTTAATGAAGCTGATTGGTGGTCCAATCATGGGTCAAGTGCACCAAATCTCAGGGTATTGGCGATGCGGATTTTGAGTTTGACATGCAGCTCCTCGGCTTGTGAGAGGAATTTCAGTGTTTTTCAGCAGGTCAGAAAGATGCATGCCATATGTCAACTTGTTTATTGTCACATTAGAAGGACAACCCAGTATCTTTGCCATACTTTTCTTGCATTTGTTTACTTGTTTTTTCATACTAAGAAATCAATGCTCTAATCCCATCACCTACAGATTCACACAAAAAGACGCAACAGGCTACTTCATGACAAAATGAGAGACCTTGTGTTCATCAAGTTCAACTCCAAACTAAAGGAAAAGAGAGGGATGAAAAACAGGGACCCAATTGAGGACCACACATTTGTAGATGTTGTAGAAGATGAAGGTAATGAGTGGATTACTGGTGTTGTGTCTGTTGAAGGAGTGCAAACAGGAGTTGAACCTGAAGATGTACAAGTTGCACAATCAACATCAGGAGGAGAAGTTGCTCCATCAAAAAGAAAGATAATGTCTCAATCTCGTCCTAGGAAGAAGAAGAAGTTGCTTCCTATTTATCGTGATGATGAGTTGCAATCAGCTGAGTCTTCTTCTGAACCGGAAGATGATGAAATGCATTTACCAGTGAGTGATTCTGAATAATTTGATTGTGCTATGTTGTAATGTTGTCCCCTTCGGTGGCTATTGATGTAGACTATCTTAAAACTCGTATGTTATTTTGTGTTGTATTGTTGCTGCCCTGGTGGTTGTTCATGTTAGAGACTCTTAAACTATGGTTGTTGAGTGTTGATGTTTGAGACTTACTATTTTTATGTACTGGATTTGGCCCTTATGCATATATTTCTTGCTCCTATGAAAAATTTAGTTGCTTAAATACTTTATTTCTAGATATATTTGATTTTTTTTCCAAACGCTATTTTGAAATATAGCACGCTATTAGCGCGTTATAACTTGTGTAGCATTTAGAGAAGGGCCTCGCTATATTTTGTAGCGCGCTATTCAAAATATTGCATGTATCGCATCGATCATGGCAATATTATGTTTTGGATTTTTGCCGACGCATGGCAGTATGTTCCCTATTCTGGCAGCACATATGATCAATAAATGTATGTGAAAAATCAACTCAACAAATCAAACATCCAACATGATATATGAAGACAACAGCTATCCCAATGAATATCCAAGTGGCGAATTTATTCAGATACTGGGTTTTTACAACAATAGAGTACAATCTTCGCTGATATTAACAAAATACACTCCTCTCGATTGTTTTTTATTTATTTACGGGAAAATGAGAGAAGCCCATGCAGGCAATGGCAGTACAATTCTAGATGAACGGTTCACATAGCAACAGTATTTTTATGCTACACTGGGTGGTGGGTGAACAGCAAGCCCACACTCAGCGTCCCTACTGTAAACCCAAGGTCCAAAGGAAAAAACCAAGCATGACTATTGAAAACTTCCATGCCATCGTGCGAAAATTCATATGTAAAACTAATCCATCTTGACATTTGAATATAGGAGCGTGTCCCTGGTAAGCGGCATGTTCATGAGCAGGCAGATCTGCACAATCAGCACATAGTGTCGTCAGAGATGCGTTTCAACGAAGTTAATCAATAATAGACAAGACCAGGAGAAAGCATGCTCACCCCAATGAGAGTTGAGACAAGGAGGATGATCCCTGTAATCCATGCAAGACTCAATCTAACAAGATATATAGCAGCTATAGAAGCTGTAGCATTAGTTTTCGATGCTTCTGCAAGCCGTCTTGAGATATGCAATGAAGATGGTCCATCGATGATGGATGCCAAGGATGTTGAAGCCTCCTTAGTGGATATTACCAGCCCAACAATTTTCCCTATATTAACATATGATAAATGTCGAAACAGAAAAAAAAACTGTCAGTAGTGTTCTGCAAATATAACAAGTTTACCGATTGAAAAGGTTATGCTTCAAGTCAATAATCAACTTACCGTTATATGCTCCCTGCAATTGATCAAATGCTTTGGTGAGAGCTGTCTGAACTACTTCAGCTCCCTGCTTAACAATTTCTGCAGAACCATATTCATCTTCCAGAGCCTAAATAATAAACCCATCAAATAAGTAACTTTATAACACTAACATAGTGGGGGAGGGGGGGTCATGTGCTTCATAAGAATATTCAAATTGCATAAAGATACTGTTGCTGTGTGGTCTGGGGAATGAATAGTTACAGGGTCTTGCGAATATTTTGCTGTGCACAATTTATAAGAATATTCAAATTACAGCTGAAGATTTATGTTTATAATTACCTTAATGCCCGTGAAGCGGCATACTAATAACTCTGCAGGGCTCACGATGCCTCCTGAGAAATCTTCATGAACCTGAATACCCCTTTTGATGGTTTTGAGAAGGGAGATCAAGCTGGATGCAAATTCAACGTCTACTTCCTGTGTAGACATGCAAATGAAGTTAAATAATTTCTACAATTTAGTGGCCAATTTTGTACAAAGTAGGAAGTGACCTCATCCAATTTTAACAGAAAAAGCAATGAATCCTCAGAGACGAGTTATGTTCTTTTGAAGCCAAGTTCAGGTTAGTATGCAAATGGATGACGAAGCGATGCTAACCTTATTGAGGAGCAAAGTAAGACTGTTTCCACTCTTCAAGGGGATGTTTAATTTGCCATCAGCCTTCTGGTAGGATCCCTCCAACCAGGTTGCCTGCACACACAAAATTCTACTTATAGTTTCTAACTTGTATCCCCTCAGATCCAAAATAAGTGTCGTGGTTTTAGTTCACTAGGAGGGAGTACTAGTTTTCTCCAAAATAGTATACTTACCAAGTCGGTGAGTTCATTATCAAGAACATCTGATCCAGAAGATTCATGTGAACGAATGACAATCAATTCATCCTTATCTGCAAGGTACATGATCAATGATACTTATGTGTTGACAGGGCAGATACAGAAGTAGGGGCATCCAAGTTCCAAAAAAAGGGAGATGCTCAGTAATTAGTCAGACCTGTAAGCCCTGTAGCAGCATTTTGTGCACCCTCAATCTTGGTTTTGTAAATACTACCGGCATCAGATACGAAGCTATCGACAGAGTCTGATATATGATCAAGAGAGACAACATTAGTCGCTACATCAAAATGCATGAATGATTCAGATAAAATCATCCCCAACAAATTAACATACCATGGGATCCATCAATTTGCATCAAGAAAACAGCACGAGGCCTGTCAAATGGCTTTGGGAGTAGCAGCTTGTTTAACTGAAAATCAAGATAGACAAAGGTTGAATGGCTTAGATAGAGTAGCACGATGCGTGCAAAGACTAGCTGAATCCTGAAAGCTAAATAACCTTTGCAGAAGAAGGCGCGGGAAGCATGGCAGGTGGTGCAAAACCAAGCAAGACGGAAACAGCTGCAGAAACTTCATCAAGTGACATCGACGTGGCCTGTTGTAGCATGACAAGGCATATATCATGAGATCATACTAGCCCATGCATGGGGTACGAATGAAATAAAAACGAAAGCTAAGGTTGATCTGTCATGGTAACCAGTATCATCTTCACACTTGAAGCAGTAAGGGGAGGCAATTAGTCAAGGCAAGGGCAAAGTGCTATTCGGGCATGTATAAACGCAGGTGCCTGAAGAGGTGCTTAGCAAACAAAACAAAAGAACTGTTTCTTGTCATGCAGGTCGGCTAAGATGCTAATTTATAGGTACCTCTGATTAACACGTTGCTATGCATGTAACTACCTGTAGCTAAAAGATAATACAACTATCTGAATAAGTACCCATGGAGAGTATAGGTGCTTAACTTTCTTTTTGAGAACGAGTATATGACAACATATATGGCTGGCCAGTTGACGATCTAGGAGTATTTGGTGCTGTCATATGGTATTTGTGTTTTGAATTGAATCCTTGTCTGGTATTCGTTCATAACCTACGAGCTAAAAACCGGAATCCGGCATGGATTTGCTGGAAGAGTCGTTCGAGCGCGTGAGAAGCAGCAACGGGTTTTTTTTTTTTTTTGCGGGGAAGAAGCAGCAACGGGTTGGTCCGTAGAGAGAGGGAGAGGGGATAATCGGTGGCCGAACCTGGTCGTCCTGCTGATCCCGCAGGTAGCGGTGCGGCGCGCCGTCGATGAAGGCGGCGGCGGCATCTCCATGTCCCTGTGGCCGCATACGGATGGAGCCATCGTAAGGGGGCGCGACAGAGATAAGGGATTGCTGAGAGAGGGAGAGCTGGGTACCTCAGGGGCGGCGGCGACGAAGGAGACGGCAAGCGCGAGGAGAGGGAGGAGGACGACGAGGTGGTGACGGCGAGCCATGGTCGCCGGCGTCGGCTGGAGATCCGATCGAGTCGCTACAGAAGATTTTGATCTTGGCTGCCCCCCTCTGACTACCTCTAGAAAATAGATTGTCCGATTGAGGAAACAAATTGCGCAAGGACTTGTTTGGTTAGGGTGATTCCGGCCGGGATCACAGCTCAATCCACGTGGAACACTCCGATGGGGAATAATTCCCGGATTGGAATGGGGTATGTGTTTGGTTGAGGCCGGGACGGGGAAAATCCCGGCCTGGCCCGCCCCATGCCGCGATGTTCCATGGGGGAGAAAAGAATCCGCTCTGAGCAGTGGAACGAATCCTGCTCCAAAGTTGAGGTGATGGGTGTCAAGTAGAGGGATTAACCCAATCCCTGGATGTATTTGTTTACGAGAGGATTGTATCCCCTACAACCAAACATGGCCTAAAGAAGAGCAGCCGATTTGGAGGTGGAGGACACAGTAGGACGACACTTTTTCCGCGTAAGCCTGGCGACTAGCGTTTCCGTTCCTCCGCCGGTTTCACGCCGTCGTCGGTCTACCCCCTCAGAACAACCATCAATCTCTCCTCCACTTTGTTTTCTCCTGTTCGGGTTGATCAAGGGGACACCTGGACTGTCTTCCCAACCATGGCACAGTTCACCTTTCTTGGAGTCAAGTCGGTTTTTGCTAGGGGTGTAGCATCCATGGTGGCGGACATAACAACAAGCGAAGGAAGCAAGGTCAATGGCGGGCTGAGCGGATCAGAGGATGATCTTGGTGAGATGATGTGGATGATGGGGATTGAAGAGGGATAGTACGATGATGTGGTCTTTGAGGAAATGTAGGACGTAGCATGGCTCTGACTAGGGTTCATACCACGAACGAATTTGATCCTCCAACCTTTTACTCAAATATATGTGAACGTCGTGGGGTACGACTGAGCAAGTTAAGTTCAGGACGATGGAGGAGAACCTTTTCATGATCCAGTGTTCTTACCTGGGAGATTGGCTTAGGGTGATGAAGGCAAGGCCATGGCACTTCTGAGGGTTTGCGGTGATCATAGAACCATATGATGGCCTCGTGTTGCCCAATTCAATTAAACTGGGTTGAATTGCGATACAGGCTCAAATCCACAAACTACCAGATGGGTATAACATGGCAATGGGTACCCGCAAACCCGACGGATAAAAACCCTATTGAGGTAAGGGTTTGGGAAAAATAAATACCCATGGGTTTATGAATGGGAAAAATATACCCATCAGGTAAGTCGGGTACGATACAAGAAGGAAATACCCAAACCCGCGTACTCGCATACTCATATACTAATTCCTTCTAACATGTAGGTCCTA